TGTCAGGGGGGTGCTGTTTGTTCTCTCCAGGATGGGTGGGAAGTGGGAACAGTGAGAGACAATGCTTTTGGGAGACCCAGCTCATGATTTGACCCCCAACCTTATTCTCCCCCACTCCCCTAGACCCCACTCTTAGACTTATCCATTCCCTGAGATCTGACTAGCTAGCACATTCTCTGAAGGCTGTTTGCACAGGGTCAGACCCCTGGGGTTGGAAAGATCACACCCCCAACGGCCGGAGGGGGAGTTGGCTTGGTGCCAGAAGTGCCCCCAGTGCAGTTGAGTCCAGGGGGTGGAAAGTTTGTCCACATAGAACATAGAGGGGATACTGCACCCTGGGATGCTGGAGGACTTCAATGTGAGTAACTCATCTGTGGGGATTGCCCACACATTAATGGAATATGAGCTGGGTAACACAGATCAGAGAGAGACCTGCCCTGGAGTGGCATAATTTTAAGCTGCCTAAAGTGTGCTTAAAGCTAGTTTCAGGTATTAATGTGTGGACAATCTAGGGGTTAAGAGCTTAATTAATGTGTAAGGGGGGCACTAAGACTAGTGTCACTCCAAACATGTGAGAGAACTCTACAATATATTAAGAGAAATAGAGTGAAATAGGTCTCTGACATTTTTTCCCTCCTTTATGAGTCTGGGAATCTTTGACCCATGTACTTTTGCCTTTTCTTCTCAGAGACCCAGATTGCTCTCTTGCCTGCTAGGCAGACATGTAAGAGGCTTCCTCTACATTGGCAAATAGTAGCATTCCTGAGGAGGAGAAGGGTTTTGACCAAGGCATTAGCCCCAGGCACTGCCTTGGGGGCAGAGGAATTGGGGTGTGTGTGTGGAAAAGTAGTTGTGGTTAGTGGTTGGCACTGATGGCATTGCTGCTAGCAGCACAGTAATTGGTGCTGCCCTGTGCATCAAAGATGTCCATTTTTGTCATGAGAATGGAATATGCTGGTGGTGCTGTTAAGTATCGCTCTGCAAACCAGGTCCAACAGAAGCTTCCCATTGCCCCACCAGCAACCCCCATCATGATGTGAAGGGGTGTATGCTCTCTGGTGAGGAAAGCTAATATATTCTTATTCACACCTTTGCCAGGTAGAATATGTGCAGTAATTTTGTGATTCCAAGTTTTGTGCATTGTAACTGACAACTGTGGACCTCACTGAAATTGATGATACAGATAAAGAGTTGGCCTTTCCCTGAGTTATACCATTTAGAACCTGGTCCTCCATGGCGCACACTGCCTTTTGACACAAACAGGATTGCATAGGATTAAGAGGAAACAGTATTTGATTAATTTGTTTTATTCTCTGAATCATTGTGGCTCTGTCACTTCAAATGTTTTTCCTTAGGAAAAAAATATACTGCCCCCCTTCC